CATTGCCCCAAGGCCCTACAACTAGTCCCCAACCAAAAGAAAATCAAACGGTCAATTTCCAAGTGCATCCGGTTTCAATTTTGGCTCGCGGTGCACTAAAAACTTGTTTTGGCCTTCCCCATGCATCCCGTTATTTTTCGGTTGCAAGGGGCCTTGATTTTTTTTTAATTTTCTCTTCATAAATAAAAAAAAATCAAGGTCCTTTGTAACTGCCACATTGCCAAAATGAATCTGGTCCAAAATCCCTCCCCTAGTTTGCCGTTTTCGTCCGTTAGTGCCCTTTTGACTTTCTCCCTTTTACTTTTTTTTTTCTTTTCTTTTCCCTCCACTTGTGGACAATTGGGACTTGGCTGTCCCTACTTGCTGCAGTCCCAACTGACGGTCAACTCACTCATCCTCTCTCACCTCCCATTTTCCGTTTCTTTTCTTTTTCTTGATGCATGCCAAGTGTCAACTAGCCGTTAAGGCCCTTTTCTCATTTTTTTTTTTTTTTTTCCCCTTTTCCTCCTTTCTTGGACAGTTAGGACTTGGCTGTCCCTACTTGCTGCAATCCCTACTAACGACCAACTCACTCACTCCCTCTCACCCTCCTTGTCTCATTCTCCCACATTTTCTTTTTTTTTTTCTTCTTCTTTTTGTATGCCAAGTGTCAACTAGCCGTTAAGGCCCTTTTCTTGCCTCTTCCTCTTAGTTTTGACCCTTCCTATGCCCAAGGGCCAGTCCGTTATTTTTCGGACTACAGTTATGGTTCTTCCATGCCCTTGGGAGCCACCGTTTGCCCCTCTCCCTTCCAAACGGTAGGCCCCCATGCACCGATTTTCTCCGGGAGGCCTATTTTTCTCATGGAGCCCCTACGGCTCCATTTTCCTTGGGGGAGGTCAATCCGAGATTTTTTGGATTGCTCCCATGCCTCTAGCACTTGTTTTCTTTATTTTTTATTTTTCTTTTGGCCCTCCCGCTTGCTCCCACTGGTGCTTGCACTAGTGGTGCTAATAATTTTGGCCGTCAAGATCTCCGATCTTGACGGTGCAACTTGCTTTATTTTTTTACACCACATGTCACGCCGCGATTTTTCCTTGGGACGTCACAGTTCCCGCCACTTGTCCCACACTGGTCCCCGACACTAGTCTTAGTCCCGTGTGGTCCCCGACACTTTGTCCCACCGGTACCGCATTTTTGTCTAGTCGCATGTAATCCTCGGCACTTGTCCCGTTGGTGCCGCACCTTTGCATGGTCCCATGCGGTCCCCGACATGGTCTCACGTGGTCCCCGACACTTCGTCCTGCCGGTGCCGTATTTTTTTCTTGGTCTCACGCGGTCCCCGACACTTTGTCCCGTCGGTACCGCATCTTCTCTTGGTCTCACGCGGTCCCGGCACTTTGTCCCGTCGGTACCGCATCTTTTCGTGGTCTCACGTGGTCCCCGACACTTTGTCCCGCCGGTACTGCATCTTTTCTTGGTCTCACGTGGTCCCCGACACTTTGTCCCGCCGGTACCGTATCTTTTCTTGGTCTCACGCGGTCCCCGCCACTTTGTCCCGCCGGTACCGCATCTTCTCTTGATCTCATGCTGTCCCCGACACTTTGTCCCGCCGGTACCGCATCTTCTCTTGATCTCATGCAGTCCCCGACACCTTGTCCCGCCGGGCGTGAGTCCTCACTTGGCCCATGACCCCCTTGCTGCCGCGTCCTAGCGGCCTACTTGGCCCAGCTACGTTTTCTCGTGCTGGCGCCTTACGTATCATTCACCCATTTCCCTTGCTTCTTTTCTCTCTTTGCAACGTGCATCCTTTGCCACTACTTTTCTTGGCGGTCCTTCTCCATTTCGGGGGAAGGGTCGCCTTCGCCACTTTCTTGCGCGCCTCCGCCGCTCCCCGTTCCGTCAATTTTCTTCTTAGTCCATTGGTCCCGACGACTTTGGGCAGCTTCTAGGTTCGTAGCGCCTATGCCTAAGCCTTGATCCTTCCATCCTTCTTGCCTCCGGTTTTCTCTGCCATGCACAAATTAGCCATATATAGTCTCTCGAGTGACGGGAAGTCATTTGGGACTCACCAGTCCCGACACCGGTAGAGCTCCACCATAGCCAAGGTGGAAGCTCTCGACTTCTTCTCCCAGCAGCGATGAGGTACCCAGCGCTACTCCAGCTAGCGCTCCAGCAGCGTGTCGCCAAACTTGCACACTGAAGAATGAGGCTGGGCTCTCCACCCTGCCTCTTCATATAGCGGCCTACTTGCCTCCTGGGCGGTGACTTCCAGGCCGCTCGGCCTCTCCAAGCAACCGGTACTTCCTCCGTTTCGGGGGGAAACATCATTGCAGACCCTGATATTACCCGTACAGGCTCTAGACTCAGACTGGTTGGACTGGTACCGGCCTAGACCTACCCTACCGCTACTGGACTCTAAAAATGCCAACTTTGTTTTTTTCTGCTCGGCCTCTAGTACCTCTCACGCCAACTGCAGTGGGGTGCAGTATCGGCCTACCGGCCTACTTGAGTGTTTTTCCACTACCCCAAGGGCCGCAGGGCCGCTAGTTTCACCACTTTAGTGTTTTTCCCTGCTACAACCGTCAATGCAACGGCCACAGGTAAGTACCGGCCCTACGGGTCTACCAAACAAGCAAGTACCCTTGCGGGTCACACACACACTCATACCGACAAGCACTCAGACAGGCACGCAGGTCACAAGCACGCACACACAGACAGACTTAGAGAACACAGCAGAATGCGGGAATCTCAGGAAGGCATCCATTCCATTGGCAGAACTTCAGAAATCGACAGTGTTCTCAGTCTGTGTTTTGACGGGTCATTACACAAGCAGCCCATCCATCCTTTTAGACTCACTTTACATTTTAACAGGGGACGTCAACAATAGGCGAGAAAGGATCTGTTTAATGGATGGATGACCAAAATAATTGCAAGATGATACTTCACCCTTAATGTTGACACCGATGCATACAGCAGTTGCGCCAGATCTGTGGCTGCCTCATGCTATTCGCTCAATAAGTGTTCTATGTGAGATCCATCTAACCAGACACTACTCGCTTCGCAGCCCCTTACATTTACATGAACAGCGACAGAAACTTCAAATTTGGACACCGTCTAAATCTTTTATTCCCCAGCAGATCATCGACTCAAACAAGCGCCTTAACACCCATCTTTCCCAAAATAATACCTGACAATCAGTCGCAGCTTAATTGATAATTTTCCCCTGATTAGTTATATATATCTCGCATCGTCACACGAGATCATGGGACAACTCTTTCCCCTTTTGTTCATTGCCATTAAACGGGGTTCGCCTAATCTTGATATTGCCGAAGAGATGGCTACACCGGACGACAAAGTGTATCTCCTGCCAGCCCCTGCTCTTCATTCACGGTATTTCCTTGTTATAACCTGTATCTCATCAAGTATACCTCCGCAAAACCAGATCGGCTCGTGAAAAGGGGAAACAAGGATCATGACTCAAAACCAACGGAGTAGGGATTAATAGACATTACTAGCTCCGCAATTAGGTGACTTACACGAGGTATGGCAAAAATGTCACTTCCTTCAGTGTACCTTATTGGCGTTATCCCATCTGCTTACTTTCTCTGATCACACAAGTACTATGAGATCAACACTATAGTCAATACCAAACTCAAGCGGCGCACCGTGCATGATTGCACATTCCCGTGAGTGGGACTAGCCCCATAATCGGTCACATGGGGTTATGCAAACTAACCAAACTCTTCAATCACCTCGGGCCCTGGCGAAAACTCCTTCTTTCTCTCCCTAGTACACCAGGCATTGCCGTAGTATGACTGCCGACTGTCCCACAACTATCTTGGCAAGCTCAAGAACGTTTCCCTGTCATTAACGACGATTAGTAGTTGACCTCATAGGTGCAGGCGGAGATTTAAGGCAGTCAAACACCGGACCAGCCTTAATGCATTAGCCCAGTACACACAATGCGATCAGGGCTACCCCCTCGGCGGTAGTTAGTTAACACTCCTGGTTCCTCCCTTCACCGCAAGCTGACCACTGTCTCTCTGTCTCTCAACCTCCGAGTTCGTCCCTCAATCTCTCTCTTTCTCGGGCGAGATCGTTACGATTATCCTTCCCCGCCCTCTCGTACTCAGCCGCGACCTGGTCACGCCTCTTCATCAAGCTGGCCATAAGTCGCATGCCCACGCAGCCTCTTCAATTTCTTCCTCATAACCGCTCACTAGGCATCATATGAGCTGGGGAGAGTTGACTTCGTCCGCGCGTCTCAAGAAAACCGGTTGACGTCAGCACCCCCAGGCGCTCTCTCTATACTCACACATACCTCTTTCTTGCCATGAGCCCCTCTGACTTCATCCCTAGAGGGTATAGAGCCCTCTCTGGTAGGCTGTAATGTCAACGGCAACGAAAAAAGAAACTCTCAGTCCGAGCATACGCTGTCATGCTCAACCTGTCGTAACTCCGCAGACTCTTGTGCTTAACCACCTCGTACCCCAGAGTTTCTCTTGATAGTCGCTGCTTCTCTGTTTTGATAGCCTCCCTTTCTCACGCCAATCCCCCTTTCTCTTCCCATCTTGTACTAATGGTCAACGCTCCTGGCGAGCAAACTCTCCGAACCGCTCTAGGTGTCCCTCCTAGGAGTCCTAGGCGGGAGAAGACCGCCAGTCGTGCGAAGATCGTCGGGTAAGTGACGTGGACCGCCTGTGGAGAGACCCCCCCGTCAAACTGTGTTGACTCACCGCGGCTTAGCAGGCGCAAGAGCATCGAGTGAGCGTGAAGGCTGCAGTTGGCGCCAATCTCACTCCCAAGCTCCCGTCTCTCTTGCTCGACCAAACTCTCCCTCTTGTTGACTTCCCCTCCTCGCACACTTTCGGGCCTCCACGTGTCACCCCTTTCTCAGTTCCGCGGGGCCAAACTAGCCTCTGGGCCACCCTCTACCGACCCTACCAGTGGGTGGTTCCTCCGGATCTGGTCCAGTCCGTGCCAGGACTGTGTCGTGGCTTCTCGGTCGCTTGACTCACTTTCTGCCTCATTGTCGCGGTCCAAGTGCCGCTGTTCCCATTCCACCATGTCCGTGGAGGTTCCCTCGTCCAAGTAAGTGACAATCACCTTGATTTCGTAAGTGACCCCGTCTCGTAGGCATCTTCTTTCTGCGCGATCTCTGGCCTCTGTAATCGCCATCTGCAGGCCTGGGTCCGCTCTCATCTCCTCTTCTCGTCCGCCTTCTACGTTTATCTTTAACTTTGCCTCTCGTCTGCTGTAGCTATAGTCTAGTATAGCCGTCACGGTAGGCCCATCTCCCAACATTCGCTCCCACCTGCAGAGTGACTGGATGCATCTCGGCCTATAGTCGTATAACCCGTTACTCCACACCATGGCTGCGTCCACTTCACTCAAGAGCCGAGACCGAGTCGTCCCAGAATAGCCGCAGCCCAGCACTCTGAGCACTAGCAGACGGGCTACCGCACATCCCCTTCACCACTCACCTCTCACGCCTCAACTTGCCTGCATACGGCACGACATAATCTCCCATATACTCTTTACCTGAAACTCGACTCTCCCTTTTCTTTTATAGGATCGTCCCCTGTCGTGATCCCTGCGTTCTAAATGAAGGACTCAGATTAGTCCTTTTCAAACCTTTTTTAGATTCAAGAATTTTAGAAGTCTGAAATAATGAAATAAATTAAAACTAAACAATTTAAGAGGTGACCGAGTCCAGAACTCAACGGTCAAGCACGAAGTAAACCTCGCACTACCGTCAGTCCCAGACCCCAGTGACAGGGCTACAGACTTGACACCGTGGTCCCATAACGACATACGAGCGGACACTTTCCGGTTTTCAAAAATAGGGCGTCGGATACCCCAGATGGGGACCCGTGTCTGATGGTAAGGAGGGGGCTTATGACCTTCCATGGGGGGTGATAAGCCTCCTACCGATGCCGTCGCGGGTCGCCCCTCTTTTGGGACCCTACCGCGCGGCGCCCGATCGAGCCTCCCAACCATCAGTACAAAATGAAAAGGTCATGCCAATCTGGACCACATACCACGACCGTGCTCGAAATTTGAACCGTTGGCCTTCCCTCGAAGTGTCAGGAACCGAAAGAAAACCCACGTCTGAAAAATCAGCAAGATAATAATAATAATAATGATATATCAGAGAAACGTTGGGAAATCGTAACGTCGTAATGGCCTAAAGCCACCGGATCCCCCCCCGAACTAAAGTGTGGGTTCAGATCCGACGATTTATTTTTCCTTTTCCTCTTTTCCTTTTCTTCCCCTCTTTTACTCCGCCTAGTCCCTCTCTTTTCTTTTTCCTCTAACAGTGACCTCTGCTCCTCGCACCTAACCCATAACCTGACTAAAGGGCACTCGGCGCGCAGGAAAAAAAATTGCGCCGACCTATTTACTTCCGCGTCCCTGGGCGAGCCCGACGACTACCACGGCCACAGGCCGGTAGTGCTCTGCTGTATAGCAGGGCGCCGAGCCTGCGTGGACCAATGGAAAGTCCAGTGGCGCACCCCCAACCTTTTGCTAAGGTGCGCGCCAACTGGACTGGTTCATAACAGGGCATAACCCGGGTGTACCAAAAGAGGCACAGAGGTTCGGAACGGCCTGACGAACCGTCAGCGTCTGAGTGGGGCGCTGTTACCGAGCAGGAGCCTGGCACACAGAGGAGGGTCGGGACACCGCGCCCTCCGACAACGGGTGTGGCCAAACTCGCACTTCTCACCGTTGATCTTGAACTTGTGTTGTCGCAGGAGACTGAGGACTTTGTCCAAATGTGCAACATGCTCCTCGACAGTCTTACTAAAAATAAGTATGTCATCGAGGTACACGATGACAAACTTATCCAAGTAGTCATGGAATATCCGATTCATAGTGTGCTGAAAGGTGCCAGGAGCATTGCAAAGGCCGAAAGGTATCACCACAAACTCGTACAGACCGTACCTGGTCTGAAAGGCGTTGTTGTGTTGATCCTCAGGCTGGATTGCAATCTGATTGTACCCGGACTTCAGATCTATCTTGCTGAAGTACCGGCACCCTTGCACTCTATCTAGCAGATCGTCGATGCGCGGTAGGGGCTCTCTGTTCCTTACAGTGATGGCATTGAGGCCCCTATAGACAATGCACATCCTAAGTGTACCCTCCTTCTTCTTAGGTACGAATAGTACTGGAGATCCATAAGGAGAGACACTCGGCCGGATCCAACCCTTCTCTACGAGTTCCTTGAGTTGGCGGCGAAGCTTATCAAGCTCGCCTGGAGACATCCGGTAGATCCTACCCTTCGGAATACTAGACCCTGGGATAATCTCCATTGCGTGGACGACCTCCCTCTCAACAACCCGTGTTGGCTCTTCAAATAGATCAGGGTACTTAGCAACTACTCCCTCTATCTCCGGCCGCATTTTCACCGGCTCGCCTGCAGCAGAGACATAGACTAAATACATACCCTCCTCCTGATTTTGCTTATAATAATTGTAGAACGCGGTTGTACACATGCACCCATAGGACTCTATCAGACTACTGGCTTTGAACTTATGTAATCTGGCGGTCCCTCCACCTGACAAATTGTGTTTGACCACTTTTCGGTCCCAGTCAAACTGGGGCTGTGCCACAGAGAGGTAGTACATACCTAGTAACATATCCATTGGGAGCTCGCCACTCACTAGGAATGAGACACGATGTCTCAAGTCCCCTCCTGCGTACGGGAAACAACACTCAACATCCTGGAGGTAGTCATTGACTACCATGCGCTGTTTGTTGGCACAGGTCGACTCCACACGTCGACTCAGGCGCTGCACTCGCCCCTGTAAATGCAGCCTCTCAACGCACGCGCGATTGATAAAGTTCCTAGTCGAGCAAGTGTCATAATAGGCCCCGGCGTTGCGGCCACCAATGACAACCTTGCCGACGAACATCTCACCCTTAGGGGCTTTGACTAGGGCCGTCCAAGAAGCTAGCTGGTATGATCTAGACCACTCCACCTCTAGCTCTTCTAAGGACTCAAACACATTCATCGAACAGAGGCTCGATGGGTCTGAAAGTGTTTGCGGGACGACGCTGGAGTCAGTAGCTTGGGCCATCTCTCGAGATGGTGAGGGTGTCTCCACCACCTCGACCCTAGTAGGAACAACTACTATTCCTACTGGCCCGACGTGTTTCCCGGAGCACTGCCAGAAGTACTTGCAACATTGCTACCAATGGGGTGAGAGGATCCCAACACCTGCCCCATCGTAGGCGGGATCTTTTCGGTTACCTTTTTATTGCGGCACTTGTATTGACTATGGCCGTATTGACCACAGCGAATACAGGCCTGCCGCGAGTACCGGTCTCTCCACACGTCCTCAGTGAGACCCGCTTTCTCCCATGGAGGAGCGTTGGGGTCAACTTGACTCCTGGACGGGGAGCCTCCGCGACGTTTACCGGTCGCCTTTCCTTTCTGAGCAACGGCAGCGACTACTCCACCCTCTGAAGTTTCTACGCTGCCCGCCTCTGAACCTACTCCCTCCTGGAAGTGTTCGTCTACTTCGATAGTGGAACCATCATTATCGACAAACATTAAGCGACCATTCGCTTTCCAGTTAGGAGGCAGTGTCTTCTTCCTCCCATCCGTAGTGGGTGCCTGTCCATGCCCTATCTTAGCTTCAAGGTCTAGGGCCATCTTGCTGAACGAAGGAAAGTTGTGCATATTGATGTTGGCCTCTCTTGCCAACTGGTTCCTGAGAGGCTGAGAAAAGCATCTCAAGTACGAGGTAAGCAGGACCTGGGGGTCATAGCGCACCCCTGGGACACAGATCAAACGCTCAACAGCGTCGGTGGCTTCCCTTACTAACTTGAACTGCCGCGTGTGAAGGGTCAGGATCACATCAGTGGCCCTTTGGGCCTCCTGAGGATCATGCCACCTCTCTTCCACCATCTTCAGGAAGTCCTCCAATTTCTGGGAGGCCGCCCAAGTGCGGAACTCATGACCATACCCCTGGAGGTGCACGAAACCACTCAACCCTCTTGCTGCACTACCCTCTAGGTAGGAGGCAGCCACAAACACTTCTTCGTGCGGCAAGGTAAGTTTACACCTGACATAGACTGGCACTGACCTCAACCATGTGTCGAGGTCTTCGCCTCTCTTGTCCCCTGTGAAGGGTTTCGGAGCGGCGATGGCCGTCTTTGGAACCCACTGTGGTTGTCTCGGTCCCTGCACCACTCCGGGCTGTGGACCCGGTGATACAGGCTGTTGTGCTAGCTGTTGAGGCTGTGTGCCCTGCGGCTGCACAGGCTGCGAGACAGCAGGCTGCGTGGTGACTGCAACCTGCGACGGAGTTTGGGTGAACACTGTCTGAACATGAACCTGCAAACTAGTCCCTGTCTGAACAGGAGCGCGCCCTGCCAGAACGGCTAGGCTCTGTTGGATATCCTGAAGGATGGTAGTTTGATGCTCCTGCATCTCTATTACTCCTAGCAAGGCCCTCCTAACTATCCTCACATCATCATCCATGTTTGTTAGGTCCATCGTCTCTAACTCCTCTATGCCTGCCCCTCTCCGCTGCATCCTGGCTCTTCTTCTAATCATCTTCTCCTTCTCCGCTTTTATCTCTCCTAATGCCCGCCGTAGCTGTGCCTCCTGCACGGCTGCCTGCTGGATGGCGACATCCTCTGGGGTAAACACCAATGCCTGGCTTTCCATCACGCCAGTGGACTGACTCACGGTCTGCGCGACTGTTGACCCGACGATACCTGAATTGTTGGCCTGGGAAGTCTACTGCGCAGAAGTGACCATAGCGGAAGTGGCCATGGCTGCTGTAGCACTGGCCTCGCTAGCGAAAGCCCTGCTGGCCTTGGCTGCTCTAGCTATCCTCTGCTGCTGCTGCCTCTCCCTAAGTTGGCGGAACAGAATCCTATCACCCTCCGGTCCTAAGGACACGTGGGCTATCGGGCGTTTAGCTGATCGCAAGATCCGGTCGTCCGGTGGTGTGTCCTCCCTGGCGCTCATATGCTACAGCACTGTGCACTGTCTACACTAGGTCATTCAAGATGCCTACCGCAACAGAGTGCACAGACCAATTAAAAATAAATAAATACTCAATTGGTGACTATTCCGGAGCTGATACATTCGGGTTCTAACAGGTAAGTCCAGGTTCCTACAAAAGAAACTATTTTAAGTCTGACTAGTCCGCAAACAGAAGCACCAGGAAGAATAAACAATTTTAACTTTTAACTAATGTTGTCTGTCAGATTTCAATGGTTGTACACCTAACTAATCAAAACATAAAAATAGAATCATTTGTGTGGATAGGACAACATGGGATTTTCTCAAACTTATCACTTGGAATCAACCCCTCCCTTAGTTCCCCTGAGTATCACTTGACGTCAACGTCCCTTAGCAATCCGGAGAGCGTCACGTGTGTCCGGCCCACCCCTGTGGCCCGAGTATCTGCTGAGCTGGCCAGCCTTGCACTGGTTTATCCTCGCGTGCAGCGAACCTTACAACCATTGGCTGATCCAGAGGCAATTTAACGTCCGCCCCCAAGTGACTCCAAGAATTCTTTTACGTCGTGGCCGGACGACGATCACAGCCAATGGTTCCCCTTCTGGTGCTTATTTAAAGACGCCCGGTCTCGTCTCCCTCAAGGGCTGGCCTGCCCAACAGTACCCATCTAACAGCGCAGCAAGCCGAACAAAGGACAAGCAGCAAGGCATGCGTGCTCTACTCCCTGTGGGTTGGCATGGTGACCGTGACCCAGTGCTTCGTCCAGGGCCCTTCAGAAAGCTCCGCCCATCTTCTCCCAGATGCTCCACGTGAACATTGTCGACTCTCAAGGTTGAGCGCACTCGACACCTCACAATGAGAGGACTCTCAAGAAGGAACACACAACCTCACGGTAAGAAGTGTCGGAGAGGGTAGATAAGGTTAAGAGCAACGTACCTCAAATAGCTGCCCCCAACCACAGAGATAATCTCACCAAATGACCAAATGGCGATTGCGATGACCAGTCACTGCATCGGCACAACCAGCATTATCTCGCTGTTCCACCTCAGCATCAATCGCACATTAGATAGTTCTCATCACACTGTTCGGACCACTATAACCCCACGTAGCCTTCTTGGCGATCCCCTAACCTCCTGGGTCGCCTATACACTCGTCTCCACCCTCCTCACTACACACCACTTACGGCCAAACTCGCCCAGCAGACCGCATGTACGTACCGCATAAGGCAGAAGACAAGCGCCAGATGAGCGCAATCGTACCACAACTCCGATACCAAATTGCAAGGAAGATGAGCAATAGCGAACTTCAGCAATCAAACAACATCATACATATGAGTCCAGATAGTCGTGACTTCGAACAAACAGCAAAATTGCATAACGAGATTCACCAAATTAGAACACACCAAGAGTTCATAATTGACAATGCTGAAATAGTCAAGAGTTGATATCCTATCCGGCGCTCGGCGCCCAGACTACATGTGGCAGATCCTATCTAGCCTATACTATGAAGCCAAAAGATGACGTCAACAACATTCCCGAAGTACGCGCATATGGCGACCAATGTCGCACGCTTCCAGCACCAGGTATGTCTCGCGCTACACTCACAACCTCGTTCCCCAACTCACAGAYGSCACTAGCACCCAAGGACCACCCTGCGCCTCACCCAGCTTACAGCAGCGCAGCTCGGCTATGGCTGCGTGCTCCTTCCCTGCTCGCCCATGAGAGCGTAGGCGCCAGCAAGCAAATAGCGCAGCAGCGCTTGCGCAGCATGCAGCCAGCATCCGAATGCCGAATGAGGAGGCTGGCCCTTTGCTATATCGAAGTGGCCTGCCTGCGTCCAGTCCCAGGAAGCTTCCAGTAGGCCCCGGTAGCCTGAGGCCCAGCACGACGAGAACAGGCTTTGGGCCTGAGGTGGTTGCATGTGCCCAACTGCCTTTGGCCTGTGTTTGGCCCGGTACCCGTATCCAGCCCGGGGCCTGTTTCACATACATTCACACAGGCGGCCCAGGGCCTGGGTTCACTAAACCAACTGGCGCTGCGCAACTGCCTGAATTTCCCTGAGTTGCGTGGTGGCCAGAAAAGGGCCCTGAGGACCTCGTCGAGCTTGCCTTCACTTAGGGCGGCCGACAGGCTGCAAAAATGGGGCCTTATGGGGCTCATAGAGGCAGTGGCCTCGCATGAGCAAAAACAGAAAAAAAATAGAAACAGGCTTTGGTGTGTGTGGGAGGGTGGGGTTGGATGGTTAGGTGGCTGGGTGGTTGGGTGATAAGTTATCTCCCTCCTCCTCCATCGTCGTGGCCGCCTCCTCGACCTCTACTTCGTCCTTCTCCTCCACACCCTCTTCTCCATCTTCCACCTCCTCGTCCTTCTCCATCGTCGGGCCCTCCTCCTCCATCGTCGGGCTCTCCTCCTTCTCCATCGTCAGGGCCTCCTCCTCCTCCTCCTCCTCCTCCTCCTCGCCCTCTTCCTCTTCGTCGTCCTCCTCCTCCTCCTCCTCGCCCTCTTCCTCTTCGTCCTCCTCCTCCTCCTCCTCCTCCGCCTCCTCCTCCTCAACGTTCTCCAACACATC